ATTCTTTAGACTACCCAGAATTTTCTTTTGTAACTATTCTAAAATATTAGTAGATCTCATTTACTCACAGCATTTTTGTCTGCTTCCTAGTATTTTTTTTCTTTCTAATTTCATGTCATTGCTCATAGTTATACAAAACTAATAAAGTCTACATTTTCTTAGTATTCAACTGGGGGTTTTGTTGTATTTACTTTTTAAATTACTTTTTACCTTCCCTTCTATTTTTTTTTACTATCCAGTTTATGCTTTAGTTATATGTATTTGCCCTTTTATCTGTGCCTTATAAATTTCTTCTGTGTTCTAATTTGTTTTGTAAGCTTCTAGTATTCCTGTGATTTTCGAAGTCTGTAAGTTTTACAGATAGAATCACCAGAGTATACTGTTTTTAACTTTATGCATTACAGCAAAGGATGTTCAAAGTACAAATACTTTATATTCTTTTTGTAATACCTGTTGTATAATCTGTTGTGGTCAGTGTTTTAATAGTCTTCCTTTTACTGTATTTTAGATTTACTCCAGTAATAGCAATGTCTCAGAAACAGATAAGATTTTACTTTCTTTCCATCATACTCTTTGGTTAAAGCTAAATATTGATAACTTAGGAAAAATATGAAATTGCTAGTAAAAGTTTATTCGGACATATTGTTCCCACTAATTTGGGTTGGTCAGTTTTGTGCTTTCATGTCATATTCTAATTTAGAAGCACAGAATAATTACGATGAGATGTGATATATGAATAAAGAGGGACAGCTCAAGTATCTGCTGGCACCATGCTTACACCTGTTAGATGTGTTATGTTTCACCTTTCATAATCCTGAATTATAATTACAACTGAAGGTCATAATATTAGTACAGTGTCTCAATTGTTGTCGTCAAAGATAATGTTTTATCAAACTGTGGTACAGGATTTATTCTTTTCAACCATCTTTTACATTTCAAATCCTTTTTGTATGAACACTTTTGTAAATTCGAGTAACAAGTTACTAGAGAAATGAAACTTTAAAAAATGTACTGAATGTAAGGCCTTATTTGCTATGAGTTTTCTAAATGCTTTCAATTTCTATACTACATGTCTAAATTTTCCTCATTGCAAATGTGTGGGACAGAAGTGTCTCGGAGATGTTGCATTTTGGAATATCTATATAGGCTTTAATCTGCTGATCATCTCTGACTCAAAAGTCCGAAATTTTAAATCCTTCAAAATCCAAAATGATTTCAGTCTATAACCAGAATCTAAAGCATATCTTTATTATATAATAATAAAGGGACCATGTATTAGTAATACATATTCTGGTGTTCTGTATGTACAGATAATATTTTACCAATACATGAAATTTCAAAGGAAACTTTCCTGACCAATGTTACATGTTTACTTCAGAATTTAAATGAATTTATTCAGAAGTATGTAGGCATTTTGTATTATTGCTACTGTATTTGGTAATATTACCTGCGAATCTGGCAACTTAAAAGACAATAGAAGAAAAAAGTAATAACCATGGATTTTTCAAATTGGTCACAAATAGTAGTAACAGGCCTAACAAGCTCAGTGAACCCCAAGTGAGATAAATACAAGGAAAATTACAATTCAGAACATCTTAGGGAAACCAGCGATATCCAGAGGTAAAAAAAGAACATCTTGAAAATTCAATAGCAGAAAATGGTACATGCATGGCCCATAGGGTAGCTGCTTTGAAAGATGCTTGACTTCTGATTTGAAAGAAGTAAATACCAGAATGAAATGATATATTCAAAGTCATGAAAGAAGAAAAAAATTCTGTCCATTCAGAAATGGATCTGTAACAATATAATACTTCAAAGAATGAACATAAAGCAAAAGATATTTCCCAGCAAATTCATTCATTAATGGCAGATCTGCACTGAAGATACAAAGCATGGCTAAAAGTAAGTTTTCAGACTAAAGGAAGAAGATACCAGATTGAAATTTCAGTGTTCAGGAATGTACAGTGTAAGTAAATGTAAATGACTTCATATATTCTTTATTTAAAAAATACATGACTATGTAAGTAGAAATTGTGTGCGCACATATATTGGGTACTATAAAAGTATGAAAGGGAAGAAAGAGAAATAAAAACAGGTGGCACAAATACAAAACCAAGTAACAAATTTTAGGTTGAGTACAATTAGGTCAGTATACACTTAAATAAAGTAGAACTCTAGCATAAAAGTAGAGATTTTTAGCATAGATGAATAAAAGTAAGGCTTAACTCTGTATGTGTTTACAAAGGATGCTGTTTAAATACAAAGATATTTTGAAAATGAAAACACTGGGAAAAGATCAAACAATCTAAAGTGAGTTTTTAAGATGTTAATAGAAACAAAAAGAAACATAGCAACAAAGTGGTCAATTAATCAAGAAAACTTAGTTATAAATGTCTGCACCTTAATATGAATTTCAAGTTCTGTTTATGACAGAAAAATTTAAAAAATCATTGAAGATGATAATATGCTCTCAAACAACAATGGACTAAGTAGTTCTAAAATGATTAAAATTAACTAAAATAAATAAAGGCTGACTCTGATTTTTAGAATATGGAAAAATAAGAGCTTTCCTATTTGGTGGAACTGTTAGATTTTTATAACCACTTTGGGGAAAATTTGGCAGATTTTTATAAAGTTAAACATAACTCCTTTCCTTTAACCCAGCAATTCCTTTTCTGGTCCTTATCCAAGAGAAATAAAAACACATGTCCAGAAAAGTCCTGTTCAGCAGCACTCACAGGAAATTTATTCATAATAACCCAAAGCTGGTAACAACCCAGATGTCTACCAACAGGGAAATTAATAAACAAATTGTGGCATTACTTACATATAAAAAGGTACTGACTACTGGTATAATTAAAAATATGGGTGAATCTTGGAGATGTACTGAGGAAGAGTCAGAGTTCAGTCTGCATGTTCCTTCCCTTCATATATGCACTGCAACAGACAAATCTAATAAGAAAAAAAGGTTGCTTAGTTTTGGAGAAATTACAGTATAGGATGAGAGAAGACTAGATTGCAGGTGATGTTGGATTGGAATGAGAGAAATCTTATTTGTGTTTCATAATATATTAGCTTAATATACGTGTAGATATGTATATTATGTATATATAAGATATGTCTTTGTGTAAATACACACACTAAACATAGTCTTTATATTGCTGTACTGAGAAGACCAAAGAGCACTGATGCTCTATTTTCAGTGAGCTCTCCAGGTACCAGAATTAGGGTTCAGAATATGTTTGCCAAAACAGGTATTGAAAAGATTGGATCACAAATTGGGTCAGGGAACTTACTATGTAAAGCTTGACCTTCTCGTGTCAGAAACTGTGTGCTCATTATCAGGTGACCCAGGAGCCAGCTTGAAAAGTTTCACCTGTTCAGGGACAGTTGTATCTTCAATATAAGAATGATAGTGGATGGTAACCTACTGAATAAAGATATATGGGTCCATACTGACAAATAAAATGAGTAAATGATGGAAGAGCATAGGAGGCTTTTTGCAGTAGAATTCTAATAAATATCTTTCCTCATGTTACTCACTAATTTCAAAAAGGAAAACAATACGTTTATAAGGAAGAAACTTGTCATTTACCTCTAACCAAGTCCTGCTGCCTAAAATCAATACCGGGACAAAATGGCATCATATAACTCATAATAGAATGAACAGAGAAAGTCCTCTGCAGCAGTACTACTAAAAATGCATAAAATGAACCTAATCATGCAAGGACAAGCAAAACTAATAAGTGATATTCCAGATTGAAGTCTTAATGAATGTGACCCACTAAGTAATTCGTGCTCCTTAGATTAGATCTAGACCTGGAGCAGATGTAACTATGAAATACATTTTTGAGGAGATTGACAGAATTTATGGTAACTGTATATCAGACAGTAGTGTTATGTATTAAATTTCTTTTTTGTTGGTTTTGATAACTTTTATATGTAAGATTGTCCTTGATCTTAGAAATGTACAGTGAAGGGGTAAGGGAATACATTGTCTTCAGTTTATCTTAAATAGTACCAAAAACAACATTTTAGTCATTATGATAATAACTATATTCAATATTATTTTTTAAGCATTTCTCATTATATTATAGTCTAGTATTTCTGGAGTTATGTAAACCACTTGTTTATATGTTTGGGAGGATTTAGAGACTTAAGAATATAAATTTATTACCTATAATGTTACCACCAAGTTAGAGATTATTAGTTCCTTTTTTATTACTATTTTGAAAATTTATGAAAGCTGTAGGTTCTCTCTCCAGTGTGTGCATTGTACTTTTGCATATAATTGGAGGAGTGATTCAAAGACACCCTCAAGCCTGACCACTAACCCTCCATGCATGCTCAAGTCCAGTGGAACATTCAGTTTTAGTGTGCATATTTATTCACTAGTAAAAAAGGTTTGCTTCAGCTAGTAGTTCTTACAGTGTGGTTTCAAGCTGATCAGAATCATTTGGTGTTTTTTGTAAGTTTGAATTCCAAATTCAGTTTACTTGTTCGCTCACCAAATATTTTTCAAGTTCTGTGTACCAAGCATTATTCTAGGCATGACAAATTCAAGATGAAAATAAGAAGGTTAGTTTTTAAGTGAAAAATTGGTTGTGCAAGCCCTCACTGAGATGGTAACATTTTAGCAAATCTTAAAGGAGATAAGGGGATGCTACAGATACTTCAAGAAGGTGCAAGAGAAAGTGCAGTTTCTGAGATGGTTCAGGCTACTTGTTCATGTTCACAAAATAGAAAGGAGCGTACTGCCTAAATGTAGAGTAATGGGTGTGGTGGTCATGCCTGCTGGGGAGGCTGAGTTAGGATCATTCCGAGTCTGAGCTGTCAGCAAGACCCTGTATCAAATAAGTAAAAATACAAGTAATAAAGTCTAGAGTAAAGAGGGAGAGTGACAGGAGATGTAGATGGGAGAGTGAGTTCAGGCATAATTGATACTATTATACTTTTTTAAAAGTATTGTTCTTTCCACTCAACTAGACAAGAAAGGTAAGAAAGTAAGCTATTTGGACATTATTAATCAAGAAAGATAATCATTACTAAAGTACGTTTGCAGTAGAGATCATGATGAGTATCTTGATTCTGGAAAGAGTTAACGATAAAACTGAGAATAAGTGAAAGATTTATTGGTTAAGTGTGAGAAAATTCAAGGACTCGAAAAAACAAAAACAAAAACACCAGTTCAAACAATTGTTAAAAAAATGGAATTGGCCTTTACTGACATGTAGAGGAACAAATTTAGTACTGAAAGATCAAAAAGGTAATCAAATGTACAAGTGAACTACCAGTTTGTATATATAAGGCCTGAGGTTCAGCAGAGGGGTCTGAAGAAAAAATACGAATTTGGGAGTTGGCAGGAAGAGGTGGTAATTAAAGCCATGAGACTGGAGTAGTAGATGAAGGTAAAGTACTAAGAAGAGGAGTCCAGGATCTGAGTCTGCCACTCCTGGCCTTTAGTCCAGAGAAAGAGCCAGTCAGCCTAAAGAACTGAAGGAATACCAGCAAGAGGAAAGAGAGAAGACCACCTGGATAAACAGAAAACTAAGTTTTACTTAGAGTAATCAAGACAGGACTATTGATCAACATTTCATGCTGATAAGATTGAAGAAATGTCATCTAAGCATTGGGTGTAGCAACACAGAAATAACCTTCAGTGTTTTCAAAGGGAGCTGCAGTGTGTGGTACACTAAGCACTTGAGTAGGCTGAAGTAAAGAGAAAATTGAAAAGGAACAATGACAAGCAGCTCTAAGAAACCTCCTTTGAGATGTTTCTTGGGTGTATTATTAGAAAATACTTTGTGTCATATTTTTCTCTTTTTTTGGCACCTAGTAAAATGATTCAATTTTATTTTTTATAAAACAGGCATTGAATTGCAAACATCACCTTTATTAATAGATATTTATTTATTTTAATGTGTTTGGTTGTTGCAGGGTCTCACTACATAGCTGGGACTCATGGTGATCCTCCTGCTTTCAGCGTCCCCAGCGCTGGAATTGCAGGTGTGCACCACTATGCACAAACTCTGGTCAGCTCAGCCTGCCCTGGAGGTGGGGCTGGTGCCACATGTGGTGCCTAGGTTCAAACCACAGTCCCTGCACTTGCCTTAGCTTGCCTGAGTGGGCTGTTTAATCTGCTAAGCTATCTCACCGGCCCTAGATATTAATATGTAGATGGTACTGTAAACAAAATCAGCAAAAACTCCTAAGAATTATAAAAAATTTCAGAATATGAACCTTAACACTTCTGAGCATATTCTTTTTATTTTTAAAGAGTGCAAAATAGTATTAAAACAAAAAATTATAAGTGATACTGAGTATAGTTTTTTTTCCTGAGTATACTTTTAATGATTAAAAGCCAGTAAACGTAGAAGTTAAAGAAAAAAATGCTGACAGCAGATCATTTGAATTGTTCTGAAAAAATATCCCACATGTTGCCTGTAGCACTGCTTTCAGTGTAACTGAGCAGCGTATAGTGTTGCTAAGTCTAGTAGCTAAAATTTGTAGTTGTCAGTGATTTTTATCAGTCTGGTTACAAAACAGGAACTTAAGAGGCTAAAGACAAAAGTAAAAGTTCTTGTACAATTCCTGGGCCAGGGATGTAGCTCAATGGCACAGTGCCTGCCTACAAGTGCAAAGTCCTGAGTTCTATTCCCGGTACAAAAAAAAAAAAAATTAATAATAACACAAGTCCTGTTTCCGAGAAAGGATGTCTAATCAAGCAAAAGGAGCTAATAAATTTCAACACTACTGACACCTTGAAAAATGTCTCTTGAAGTGTTGTATAATCTCTCTGATTCTTTATCCTAAAGAAAATAAACATTTAGAAGTGCATAATTTCAAGCTAACAACAGTCAGAAATTTCTGCTAAGTTTTATGCTTGCCTGTTTGGCCAGGTTAAGGATGTCTTAGAAACTAAGAGATCAAAATCAAACTTCATTACTTTATCTGCTTTGAGGAACCTGTTCTAAGTCTGATTAATAAAGTGAGCCCTTTTTTTTCAGCTTACATTGTTTCCAGCTTTGTACACTAATGAAGGATCCCAGCCAATGAAGTTTAAATACTCTAGCCTGCTCATACTATGAAACTAGGATTGAAAGAATCATCTAAAGTGTTGTCATACTACTTTTCCAACACTTTTTAGACAATTAATTACTTCAGATTGGGAGAGATTTTATTTTTAAAGACCTTAAAAGCAGACAATTTAAACTTTCCTAAACAATTTATTCATTTAGTTTGAGAATGATCCTCTTTTTATCTACCAAAATATATTCTAAATGAACATCAGCATACATTTAAATAGCTGACTTATTAAAGCCCATTTAATGTATTTCCACTCAAGTAATATATTACAGTGTAGGTATAGCCTACCAAGGCAGTCATAAACCTGCTTTCCTACTGAAATAGTATTCTCCTTGAATAAGTAATTTTACCATGGCATGTCTTCACCTCTACAGTGAGAAAATATGAAGCTAAGAGAAAAGGTAAAGAACTCTTGTGGGACTGCTGTGGTTTATAAGCATCTCCCAGAGTCCACGTATGACTGGTTGGTGCCCAGGAAACCTCAGTGCTTTTGCACATGTTCTTTGTTCTCACAGAGTGAAGGAAAAAGTGAGTCTATGATGATGCAGTCTGTAAGTCATAACAGTTCAACATTGGAAATTTTGAATTGCTATATAATGAACTTAATTGAGCTTTCTAATCCCCGTATTTCATTATGTACAAAAATTATTCTCCATTATGCTATCACAGAAATGATCCATGTATTGGACAGAATGACTTCCAATAGAATCAAGGGATTAAATGTTTCAGTCATTTGTATTTTTGAACAACTATGTACTACACGTTAGAACAAAGCTATATGCTTAGTATAAACAGCACGCAAACATAGATTCTCCCTTTAATACCACTAATACCTCCTAGAAAATATGTGAGTATGTGTTAGGGGCTGGTCTCTAAACATGCATAAAGGTATATGTAATTAACCTAGCTCAATCCAAGAACAGAGGGGTTGGGGTTTGCCTATAAATTGTGATAAATATTGTTGAAGAGAAGACATAGGACTGCTAGGTAGAATTCAGAAGATTAGGAAAACCTTTTTGAAGAAAATGCCATTTAATTTTATGTGAAAGGAATGAGTTAATTAGGGGTAAGTTCACTGTTGAAAAATGGGAGGCACAGACAAGATGATATGAGCCTGGTTGTATGAATATGCTCATACAGGTGGCTGTTAGTGGGTGCACAGGACAGGCACATGGGAGGAGGCTGTACAGTCAAGAACCAGGGAGAATACACTCTTGGAGCCCAAGTTACATCTTTTACATGCATTGGGAGGACACTGAAAAGACTGAGATGAGGGGTTTTTAATAGTATTTTAGATCAAGTCTGAGTACTTGGCAAAGGAGATGTGACTGAAGGGGGGAAACCAAGAATGTTCTTATAGATCTGTACAAATTTGTAGTAGAAATAGTCTAATCTGTAGTTACTGTCTTTTATATTAAATCTTAAAATTCTGTGTAACTTATTTCTCTCTTATGGATGAAAGTTCCAAATTTTATTGGAGGGACACTTCCATACTTCAATTGCAGACCTTTTCTGAAATGTGGCGCCATTAGGAGAATTAGGCATGTGTTTGACAAACAGCTTTTCATGAAGTATGTCAGGCTTTCCTTAGTTGGTACAGTAAGCAGTAGGGTGGGGGATTTCCAGACTCTTTCAGAGATGTGGATGCATGCAAAACTGTCTTGTCTCAGAAACCACTTCTCCATGGTCTAACATTAGTATGAAAATCCTCTCTTTTAGAATGTGAAACACAGAAAGTATGCAAGATGGAAGGCAACATATATCCATAACTGTTTGAAAAATGGAGAGACTCCTCAAGCAGGCCCTGTGGGGATTGAGGAGGATAATGGTATGTATTTGTTTTATGTAAGTGACTTAGCAGAATCATAACTCTTCAGTGCAATATTTAAAATTTCAGAAGGAACAATATGAGCTCCAAAATCCATGAACATTTTAAGAATAAAATTATACAATATGTCCAAGCCACAAAGAACATAGTAGTAATATTGTATATCTGTTTGATTTGTGGTTTTTTTTTTTTTTTTGAGGGAATACGTAATATATCACATGGTTGCAAAAATGAAATACTACATAAAAAATATAAAAGTGAGTTTCTGGTTTTCACTACAACTGTATTCCATAGGTCAACCGAAACTCAAGTAAATGCTACTTCTAGTTTTTGTGTATCCTTACCAAGATCATTTTTTGTAAGTTCACAGTCAAATGGAATATTTATATATTCTCTTTTTCACACAGTTGGTAATATGTATACTGTCTTGCATATGGCTTTTTTAAACTTTATATATATAGAAAAATCTGGGCTGGCCAAATAGCTCAGTGGATTAAAGTGCCTGCAAACAGTCTCAGGGGCCAGGGGTTCGATCCCCGGGCCTGCCGTGCTGGCCCCGCCCGCAGGGTGTGCTGAGATGGCAATTGAGACTAGGCTTGGTGGCGTATGCCTGTAATCCCAGCTCTTGGGAGGCTGTAAACAGGTGGATCACTACTAGTCCAATCTAATAGACCCTAAACACCCTGTAGGTACTTCCCTAAAATACAAAAAAAGAGAAAAATCTATATTATTATTAAGATTGTTACTAAGTATTTAAAATTGGCACTTCTAAAACATGGCTGTTTTTTTTTGCTTATTCCTCCTGACAGTAGAATTTTTTTAAAAGTACTGTGAATTGCAAACTTTATTTCTCTGATATCTTAGAAGATATAACATACTTCTTTCCCTACTTTAGCACTGGTCTTAGTCAGGGATGTTTTGGATCAGTCCTACTGCTTACTGCTTCTAGTTGTCTACAGTCAAAATTTTTGAGATTCTTAGCCTATCAACAAGGCACACTGCCATTTACCACCAGCACATTTTGCCAGGTTTATTTCCTGCTCCTGTCTCCTGTTGTCTGAGTGTTTGGCCTGCCACAAGTTGCCATAGACTGGGTGATTAGACAACAGAAACATTTTTTACAGTTCTGATGGCATGAAAGTCCCAAGTCCAAAGCTCAACAGGGTTTCCTTTCTCTGAGACTACCCTTGTGGGCTTTCCTATGGCTGTCTCCTCCCTCTTCTTTACTCAACAAAGAGAGCCACTCCCGCTCTTCCTCTTCTCAGAGGGCAGCAGTGCTGTCAGCTTAGGGCCCTGACTTGATGGACTCATTCAGCTTTAATTACCTTATGAAAGACTCAGTCATTTTCCTCATAGCTGGAACAGAATTCCACACTGGACTTCCGTACTTTATAAGAGGGGTGGGAGATTTTCTTTGGGCTCACATTTCAGAAGTTTCAGTCCTTGCAAAGTTGATGACAGGGTGCAGGGGCCTGGGCAAAGAGCAGAGGTGCTCGTGTCCTGGTCCTGAGGAAGCAGAGAGTGAAGGGAGGAACCAGGGAGGGCAGTACATGTGCCAGGTCACCACTACCCCAGATATCCCCACTTTCAATTAGGCCCTGCTTCCTACTGTCACATTTAAAAGCACCCCCGTGGTTTGGTCATCCTTCCAAAGTTTACCTGTTAGTCTATGAGGCTTTGGGGAGACATCCACATATAAATCCTGAAAAGTTCCCTGTCTCCAGACAAACTCATGTTGTGTTAATGAGGCTTCATAGGGCTGTCAGCTGATGAGTTCAGTCCACAGCATTCTACCTGACTCTTCAAATGTATGTCTTTATCTGCCTGCCTCTGTTTCTGTCTTGATGTTTCTTTGTGTGTCTCTCTCTGTCTCTCTCTCTCTCCCTCTCCCTCTGCCTGTCTCTCTTCCCTCCCTCCCTCCTTCCCTCCCTCCCTCCCTGCATCTCTGCCTCTTTCTCTGTGTCTGTCTCTGCCTCTTCCCTTTCCTTCCTCCCTTTTTCCCTTTCTCTCCCTTCTATTCTGGACACTGCACCTAGGAGGAATAAAGCCTCATGTTTATGTCCTTATTTAATTTCATTTACTTCTTAAAAACTCTATTCAGGACAGTTCATTTCCTAGTACTCATTTAAAAACCTTTTATTAAAATCATAGATATTAACAGTCAGAATGTATCATTGTCTTTTCAGCTAAAACCATTCCTCTCTTCTCAATCATCTTTCTTTGCCTGTATAAATCCTGATTAGGATAGCCTCTTTTTGGAAAAATTATTATATAAAACCTTACCAAATACATGTTCAGTAAAATTATTATATTCGTAGTAGCATAATCTCAGAATATTGGCTACATGTTAAGCACTACACTATAATTATTACCCAAGTGCTTCCAACTTAAGGAAGACTTGCCAGAACTCTCATAACTAGTTAATATAATCACAGTTTGAACCCAAAATTTGAATTCCAGCATGTATTTTCTTGTTTTACATTTAAGCAGATGTGGGTTTTGGTTTTTTTTTCCTTCAGCATGCTTGACACAAGACAGTAAAATTTACATGTATCTATCTTTTCCACTGAGCTTTTCAAGAAAACATCTCAGTCAACCAGTCAGCATAATGTTAATTTAACCTTTTGTTGAGCAGGTAGCATCAACATCATGAGGAAGATTTCTGTGCTTTAGAAACAGAGCCTGAATTTGTTAATGACTCCTAGGCGCGCCACCATGCCCAGTCTCAATCTCCCTCTCAGCCGGGGCACACTGGGAATCAAACCCCAGTCCCAGCTACTAAGCAGGCACTTTAGTCTCCTGAGCTATATGGCCGGCCCTTGTGCTTGCATTTAAAAAATATTATATGTATACTTTTTATTAGCTAGGTGTACAGAGATGAGTAAAAGTAAGACATTGTCCTTTCTTACAGAAACTCATTTCACTGGGAGTGGTGATAAGTTAATCATTTAGGGTCTGTGGTGATAAGGGGTTAGGTCTGAGCTGTCTTGAATTATTTGAATAAATCGGGTAATGAGAACAGAGGAGGCATGTTACAACTAAAAAAAAAAAAAAGGCTATAAAATTAGGGAGGCAGAGTATAAGAACAGGCAAAAAGCAAATTCTTAAGGTGTGAGACAAACCAGGGGCTGTTAGCAGTCCAGATGGTACATAATGACAGCCTAGGTAAAGTGTTGGCTGTGGAGTGAGACAGGCATAGTCAGTGTGACTTGAGACAGTTTGATGTGGGAGAAGGGAGAGGAAATGGGAGATAATTGTTACGTTCCCAGCTTAGGTGATTGTAGACATGGCAAGCCCGTCAAGGAAATGGCTAATTTAGAATGAGCAGGTTTGGAGGAGAAAGTTGAGGAAGGATGTTAAGATAGTAAAGTTGTTGATCCTTGAAGGATCCCAGCTGGCCATTATCCTACCGAAGATTTCAGAAGAAGGGGCTGAGATAGAAGTAGAACTTTAATTTCACTTAAAAGTAGAAGTAAAGCCAAAGTAAAATGTTGGATAGCCCAGGGAGAATGTAGCTAGCTTAAGAACTAAGGTCCAAGGTTGGATGGTTCTTCATATTTAGGATTAAATTTAAAATTAAAACTGAGCCATGTCTGATACCTGGTTTTATGTGACACTTTGTGTGTGTGTGTGTGTGTGTGTGTGTGTGTGTGTATTGTAACAAATGTAAAAATGCTGTAGTTTTAATTAACTACAGATATTTGATTTAAAAAATTTGATGAAATTTTAAAACTTTATGTCCTTTTTGTGGCTATGTGGGTTTTTTCTTGTTTTTGAGACAAGGCCTCCCTATGTAGTTTAGCCTGACCTTGAACTCACTGTGTAGCCCGTGCCATCCTGGAACTCCTGCCTTTGCTTCCCACATGCTAGATTATAGGTGTGCACCAGCACTCAGCCTGCAGTTATGCATACATGTTTCAATATACCTTTGTTGCTTTAATTCTCATTTTGTTTTAAGAACTGTTTCAGATGTGTCATTTTAGGTACATTCAAATGCCTATCCATCAGTTTTGTTTTTCAGGCATTCTTATGGTATCACTGACTTCTCTGATTTTAATGTTCTGAACTTTTTTCTTAAAGAAATATTACATTAATTTGTTCCTAACTGGAAAACAGAAATGATAGGGCCAGAATCATACGTATATTTTTACCAACATAAAAATTGGGCATATACATTAGTATTGTTTGTCCATTTTTAAAAAATTTTCTGATCTTTTCTGATATAAAACCTTTATATAGTGAAATGCATACATGTTAAATGCATAACTCTGATAGCTCAGTGACTTTGCAGACATTAATACACCCTTCTCTAAATGTGAAGTATTTCCATTATCTTAAAAAAAAAAAAAAAAACTACTTTGTAACTCCTGTTCCTACTTTAAGAGACAACTGCATTTGAGATTTTGGGGGGATTTTTTTAGCCATACATTAGTTCTGCCTGTTCTAGAATTTGAAGTAAGTGAAGTCATGTGGTATTATTTTGTACCAGCTTCTTTCTCTCAGAATTGTATCTGAGGTTCACCAATATTTCAAACATCAGTATTCCTTTGCATTCTACTACTGAGTGGCATTTCCTTGTAATGATAGTGGGTTTATTATTTTATTTACTGATGGCCATCGTGGCTGTTCCTAATTTGAGGTTATAATGAATAAAGCTGCTTGAATATTCAATCACTTGTGCTTTTCAAACATTTTACATATTGTATGTACATATAAATATGTTTTGTTGTTCTGAAGCAGTGGCTAGGGTAGAATTGTTAGGTTATGTATTTTTAACTCTTTAAGAAGCTCACAATCTTTTTTCAGAAGTTAGTGCACCATTTATATTTTCTTCAGCAATATGTAAATTTCTGTTGGTCAGTGTCCATACCATCACTTAGTATTGTCAGTCATTTTAGTTTAGTTCTTCTGATACAGTGATTTCTCATTGTGGCTCAATTTGTATTTTCCCAGTGACTAAACGATATTTAACCATGTTCTTTGTGTTTATTTACTTTTCATATATATTTATGAAGTGTCTCTTTTGCCTGTTTGTGTGCATGGAGGGGGTAAATATGCTTAATGTACAGTGTACTATTTCAACCATTTTTAAGTGTTTATGTTGTGGCATCCAGTACTTTCACACTGTGCCAGCCCTTCTCAACCATTCATATCTAGAATGGTTTTCATCTTCTCAAACTGGAACTGTATACCACTCCCCTTCCCCATTCATACACTCAGCTCCTGGCAACTACTATTTTGTTTTCTATCTCTATGGCACCTATAGGCCGTAGAAATAGGCCATCTGACCTTTTCCGATTAGCTTGTTGCACAGTGCAGTGCAGTGCATTATGTCTTCAAAGGTTCTTTGTGTTGTACAGGCTGAATAGCTCTGGTTGGTTGGTTGGTAGGTAGGTAGGTAGGTAGGTAGGTAGGTAGGTAGGTAGATAGATAGATAGATAGATAGATAGATAGATAGATAGATAGATAAATAGATAGATTTTGACCTATTAATGGACATTTCTGGTATTTTCACCTTTTTTTGGTTGTTGTAAGTAGTAGCCTAGGAACATTAATTCCCTTGCCTTATTTTTTAATGAGTTGCTTATACTTTTGTTACTAAGTCATGTGTGAGTTATTAATTATATAAAGTGATTTGTCAGATACATGCTTTGAAAATGTTCTAGTCTATTGTGCATTTGCTTACTTTTTAATTGTCTTGATTACCAAAAGCTTTAAATGATATGAAGTATAATTTATAATTTTTATGAATTATTTTTTGTCCTAAGAAATCTTTTACTTCTATTTGAAAAATACTATTTCTATTCTAGAAGATTTATGGTTTGAGTTTTTACTTCAGACCTGTGCTATATCTTGAATTTCTTTTTTTCTGTGTATAATGTAAGAATTACGATCTTCCTGTGAGGATTCCCTTTGATTCTAACATCATTTGTTTTTGAATTTCTTTGATTCCTTTGCCCAAAATTGTCTCTGTGCAACTCTACATCTAGATTCCATTCAAATACATTCATTTATTTTCCTGACCTGCCCCATTACTCTACTCATTTGCTGCCTTACAAATCTTGAAGTCAAGTGTTATAAATCCTCCAGCCATTCTTGTTTTTTTTTTCTTTTCAAGATTTTCTTAACTACTCTAAGTTATTTGAATTTTTACCCAAGTTTTACCATCAGATTTTCAGATTCAATTTTTTTTAAGTATGCACTGAGGTTATGTTGCTGTTGCATTGATGAATAAAAAAATGTATGGGATGTCATACATGCTTATGTTAGAAAATATTTACTTTTTTAAAAAAAGGCTACATTTCTTTCTTAAATATCTAACAAAAAATAAAAGCAAAGTAAAACCTCCAAGTACAGAGAATGAAAAAATAATAAAGGTGGAGCAAACATAAAGAATACAGGGGGGCTGGAGAGATGGCTCAGTGGTCTAAAGCACCTACTTAGAACAAGCTTAGCAAAGCATCAGGGACCACGGTTCAATCCCCCAGCACCACATGCCAGCCAGCCCCGCCCCCTGGTGGGCTGAGCTGGCCCCACACACACACACC